AATGATTGAAAAAAATAGGACAAATAGACTTACACAGTGCTCAGAATCGTATGCAGACACAAACAGTAACAACACAAATATTCACAGTGATCAAAATAAATATTTACATGTACATTCACAATTATAACATGCACCGTAATGAGAATAAACACAAGGAAAAAGAGTAAAGACAGCCCTACACCATCATCACAATATATATAAACACATTCAGCAACAATACAGAATAGACACAGCCAAAAAATATGAACAGACACATAGACATACAGTGACAACATCAAAATGCATTAAAATAGTAATGATTACAAACAAATAAAGTGACAATACTGACATGCACAGTGCTCACAATAAATACAAACATTAACATTAATGACACAAACATACACAGTGATCATAATAAATACAAACACAAACAGTAACAGCACAAACATACACAGTGATCAAAATAAGTATTTACATTTACATTGACAATTGTAATGTACCCCATAATGACAATGAACACAAGGAAAAAAGAGAAAACATAGCCATACACATTCATCACAATATATACAAAAACATTCAGTAACAATACAGAATGAACACAGCAAACACAATATAAAGAGACACAAAGGCATACATTGAGAACAGCATTATTCAGCACAATAGTAATGATTACAATCAAATAAAGTGACAATACTGACATGCACAGTGCTCACAATAAATACAAACATCAACATTAAAGACACAAACATACACAGTGATCATAATAAATACAAACACAAACAATGACAGCAAAAACATGAACAGTAATTTCTAATGATTACAAACAAATATGACAAACAGTGCTCAGAATCATATGCAGACACAAACAGTAACAACACAAACATACACAGTGATCAAAATAAATATTTGTATGTACATTGACAATTGTAACGTGCACCTTAATGACAATGAACACAATGAAAGAAAGTGAAAACATAGCCGTACACATTCATCACAATATATACACACACACATTCAGTAACAATATAGAATGGACACAGCAAACACAATATAAACAGACACATAGACATACATTGACAACACCATCATGCAGCGCAATAGTAATGATAACAAACAAATTGATCGACAAACTGACATACATAGTGCTGAGAATAAATACAAACTTGAACAGTGACAACACAAATATGCACAGTAATCAAAATATATTCAAACAAACACAGTCACAATACAGACTACACATACAGTGATTCACAAAAGAATTTGACATGTACACAAGTGACACAACCATGCACAGTTACCAGAATGAACACAAATTAATTGGGTGATAACACAGTCATACACAGTGATCAGTGATGTAGTGAAAACACAGATATACACAGTGATCAAAATAAATATTAAAATGTACAGTGACAACAGTAACGTGCACTGTAATGACAACAAATACGAGGAAAATGAGTGAAAACATAGCTGTACACATTCTTCACATTATATACATACTCATTCAGTAACAATACAGAATGTACACAGCAAATAATATTAACAGACACAAAGACATTCATTGACGACAGCATTATTAAGCGCAATAGTAATGATTACAAACAAATAAAGTGACAAAACTGACATGCACAGTGCTCACAATAAATACTAACATCATCAGTAATTATGCAAACATACACAATGATCATAATAAATACAAATTAACACATTCAATGACAGCATAAACATGCACAGTAATTGATAACGATTACAAACAAATAGGACAATCATACTTACTTAGTGCTCAGAATAGCATGCAGACACAAACAGTACCAACACAAACATACACAGTGATCAAAATAAATATTTACATGAACATTGATAATTGTAACGTGCCCTGTAATGACAATGAACACAAGGAAAGAAAGAGAAAACATAGCCGTACACATTCATACAAANAAATAAAGTGACAAAACTGACATGCACTGTGCTCACAATAAATACTAACATCATCAGTAATGATGCAAACATATAGACAGTGATCATAATAAATACAAACACAAACAATGACATCATAAACATGCACAGTAATTGACAATGATTAAAAAAAATAGGACAAATACACTTACACAGTGCTCAGAATCGTATGCAGACAAACAGTAACAACACAAACATTTACAGTGATCAAAATAAATATTTACATGTACATTCACAATTATAACATGCACCGTAATGAGAATAAACACTAGGAAAAAGAGTAAAGACAGCCCTACACAATCATCACAATATATATAAACACATTCAGCAAAAATATATAATAGACACAGCCAAAAAAATATGATCAGACACATAGACATACAGTGACAACATCAAAATGCAGCGAAATAGTAATGATTACAAACAAATAAAGTGACAAAACTGACATGCACAGTGCTCACAATAAATATAAACGTCAACAGTAATGACACAAACACACAGTGATCATAATAAATACAAACACAAACAATGACAGCATTAACATGCACAGTAATTTATAATGATTACAAACAAATAGGACAAACAGACTTACACAGTGCCCAGTGTCGTATGCAGACACAAACAGTAAAAATATAAACATACACAGAGATCAAAATAAAATATTTACTTGTACATTAACAATTGTAACATGCACCTTAATGACAATGAACACAATGAAAGAAAGTGAAAACATAGACGTACACATTCATCACAATATATACAAACACATTCAGTAACAATATAGAATGGACACAGCAAACACAATATAAAGAGACACAAAGACATACATTGACAACACCATCATTCAGCGCAAGAGTCATGATTACAAACAAATAGAGTGACAAAACTGATACATATCGCACAATAAAAACAAACACAAACAGTGACAACACCAACATGCACAGTAATCAATTTTATTATGTGCATGCACAAACAGTAACAACACAAACATACACAAATATAAATAATAAATTTAACATGTGCAGTGATAACAGGAAAAAGAGTGAAAACATAGCCATACCCAGTCATCACAATATATAAAAACACATTCAGTAACAATACAGAATAGACACAACACAAACATGCACAGTGATGGAAATAGATACAAACACACACAGTCACAATACAGACATACACAATGATGAGAATAAATTATGACATGTACGTTGACAGCACAACCATGCACAGTAACTAGAATGAATACAAATAATTGGTTGATTACACAGTCATACACAGTGATCACAATATGTACAAACACATACAATGACAATACAGAATGGAAACAGCAATCAGAGTACAAACAGACACAAACTATGCTTACAGCAACAACACCAACATGCACAGTTACAGTAATGATTACAAACAGCATACCAAGACATGCACTGTAATGAAAGGGATCATTTCCATACCCTTAAATACCAACTGTGGATCGATCTATCTCACAAGGGATTCTAACTAAATTGTAAATAACTTAGGCCACATCTACTGAAGCTGCTTGGGGGTATCTCATTATTGTTTAGTAGCTTCAGTTGGCATGCCAGACATCTAAGATGCTTAAGCTGAAAGCAAGATAGGGAGAAACCCCTCGGGGATGGATCGATCCTGTTAGATCAATCTAGGTATGGGAACCCAGTCAAGAAGAATACAAAGAGTCACAGTGATCAGAATATATATGCAAACACACTCTGTATGTGTTTGTTTATATTCTTATTACTGTGTACACCCATGTTACCACTTTATATGTCTTAATATATTTTACTTACTCTGTGTTTATATTTAGAACACAGAATTATATACTTGTCTTTATGAATGTGACGTAAAGCTGGATGGTAAATGAATAAATGTGTTGGTTTGTGTACTGCATTGTACCACACATGGCACTTCAAGGCACTTGCTCTGATGCCATTGCTCTTAGTTCTTCAGATTTGTAGATATGAGACCGATGAAGCACTTGTGTTAGGTTTACTGCTTTACTATAAATCAACCATTACATATCCAGGTGGTCATGAGAATTTGGAAAAACAAGCTAGAGCCTTGACCAATTTAACCAGACGAAAAAAAATGTTATTTAATGTTTTTAAGGGAAATCTCAAAACATATTACTTTTCCATAATGTCTCAGCAGTTGTATTTCTCTTGGCTCTCAGTTAATGCAACTGCTCATAATGCAGTGACAATTGCTACGAGTAATTAAATGCCAGCTAAAGAATTTAATAGGCAAGCATATGACTTTGACTAGTTTTTAATCCCTCAGGTGAGAAAAGTGAGGGCACTCGGTTGTTGTTGAGAGTTTGGGAATGCATATTACAATGACAGCTTAATCTTAGTGTGTATAATTAAAAATGGATGGTCCTTTAAAATCAAATTGCAGCCCATTTTTTATATAGAAATGATCTTTTCCAAAATCACGATGACTGACTTGTTTGAATCATGTCTCTCATTCATTCTCTCTTTGTTATCTCAAAAAAATTTAAGCAGACATTTGCAAGATCTCCTCCTCTTCTGTCTTTTCTAACTCCATTAAAATTTATATGAATCATGATGACCTTTTTTTAACAATATTTAATTCCTTGAAAATTTTCTCCTGTCCCCCTTAAACAAAGTGGCCTGAGCAGTGCTTCTCCAGCCTCAGGGAGAGAGGGGAACAGTGGGACCTCTAAGTCAAGATCACTTTTTTTTCAGGTTTGCAAAATAGTCTAAAAGTCAATAATTTCATTATGTAATTTAAAACCTAAATGTCAATGTCTTCCAAGACAAAATCAAAGTTGCAACAGTGCTATCATCCACAACACTGCTGTCCCATTTGTTTTCTTTACTTTGACCATTCAAACCATTACCTCAGATTCCCAAGTATCAGATTGTATTCCATGTGACTTGTAAAGAATTTTCAATTGGTTATACACGGTATTTTGGAAAATCAATTGCAAATGCATAATCAAAATTCACAATCAAAAATCAGCAAAATCACAATAATATTAAATTTCTTTTATTCTCAAGCTTCACAATTTTTTTTCGTAATCGCCAATAGTTTCATAAAAGTTATCATGTGTAGGTGTGCAACACAAACGTACTCCCCTCGTTTTCTAAATTATATTTGTTACATTTTAACAGTGAATGAACAACAGAAGCTGCATATGTAAGCCTTTCAAAATTTTTATTCTTTTATTCAGTACGCATATTTTGTTTGTTGTCAAGTTTCTAAATATACTGAGCTTTGTCAATGTGATCAATGCAACAGCTATTTTACTCTTTTCACCAAAAATACAGACAAAACTGGCATTATTATTATTACTACCATAACATTACACTGGCTTTCCATAGCTTTCAGTGAGAAGTTTTTGGTTGGTATTTTTTAATGTCACATTACAGGAATATATATAAATATCATTAAATAGTCTGGTAACAATCTTTTGTTCACAATTTTATGGCAATAGCTATACATAACATTAAGTTGCACATGCTGTAAAGGAGATACACCTCCCTCCTGAGTTTAACCAGCGTAGCACCATTCATATTGTGCTTTACACTAAAAAATTGCCAAAGATAAAGCTGTATATATGTGCTTTAAGAGATGGAAAGGAAATAAGACACAGATATAATGCACTCAGCCTCCATTTAGCTGACTTTACATAGTTGTCAATTTCTCAAAACATACTGGTACAGCTGTGTGGCTAAGACATAATCGATGTAAAAAAGCCCATAAAAATGTCATAATTCAAGTCCATGAACAAAATATGAATCTCCACATTTTACTTTCTACATACACATATCAGTTATACCTGTTGCCTCTATTTTTATTTCAGAGATATTCAACAACTTTTACTGGAAATATATTATCTGACTTTTTCACTTTAATGATATTACAACACAAAGCTCTGGAACTTAGAATTAAAGACAAATGGCACCAAATACCACTTCTCTAGAACTTATTGCTGTTACTGTAACATTTCAATTTTTTCCTCAAAACATACAAGAAACAAGGTTTCATGGTTAATAGTGATAATAATAACACAATTGCCACAAAAAATAAGTGGTTGGTTCTCCTCCCCTGTAGTAAGAACACACCTACAGACAGCCAGGCCAGGGTGCCACACATCCAATGGATCTCTAGCTTAGACAGTTGGGGTACAACAAAAATTAAGTTAAAAAATAATTATTTTCCTAAACATGATAACATTATGCATAACAAAGCTGATCAAAAGAGACTTATCCTGAAAGACTGAATGAAGGAGTGTAGATATATTTTTTTCACATTTAACTTACACTGTCAGCACTGAAATAACAATGATTCTAAGAGCAATGTAATAGCTTAAGGGAGACAGAGACTAAGCTCTAATATCACTGTCACCATTAGTCTACTTTAAACTTATATAAATATCCTATGAACCTAATATATATATATATATAATGCACCCCCCAATGTAACAGCTGCCTATCTAGCCAATATTTTGAAAAAGAAACAAAATTGCCTTGGACCTCATATTACTGCCTATGTCACAACCCAGCCACCACTAACAATACCACAAATTACAAACTTCATCTTTGAATTCAAACTGATTGATAAATTGCATAAAAACAGTAATTATAACATCTAATCTGCAATGTGTGTTTTTTTGTTTTAAGAATTTAAATTTTGTTATTTGTGTATGTTTGAAAACTGCATATCTATTGCATATTCATATTAATATATAGTTAATCTATGTTTCCACCAACTAAGAAATAACATATCTTCAAAATATCTTCAAAATTCATATTGGAGAGCATTTTTGTTGAGAAGGAATAAATGGAATGCAGACAACACCTCCCTCAATTGCAGCAGCTGAACTAGTAATAGACTAGTATCATAGCTCATCTCTTGGTTGTGTACTGGTTTCTGGAAAGACAACAAAAAGCTAAGCAACTTGTAGTAAACTTACTGAATATTAACTATACCACTTGGAATGACACAATTACATAATACTTATGGCTTTATTTTGCAATTTTTATATGCATTTTGTGGACAATTGATAAAATTAATTGGGACAAAATATGTATAAAGTATAGCCGTTCCATGTTTCCTTTATTTGAGATAAAAGTCAACCAGGTTTGAAAATGTTATTAAAATGTCCTCAATAAAAAATAATTTTATTTTAAGCTGATAGCATGTCTGGAGGTTTTAGGATATTAGTGGAGTATTGACAGGACAATAAAATATAATAACAAATGATTGGAATTATGTCTGTTTTATAATGAATGAATACGGTAGTGTGCCAACAGTTCCAATGAGATGACTTTAAAAAAAAACAAGGCAGCAAAGCTGTCAAATGTACAGACAAAAAGCAGACAATAACAATGCACAAAACAGGCTACTGTCAATTCTGATGCAAAAGTNCAAAACAAAAACAAAAACAAAAAAAACATCACTTTGATCAAATAAATTGAAATACAGCCATAAAAATTTTGATAAAATATGGATTGTTCAGGCCATCCAGCTCACTGAAAATATTGCACTTTACCTGAAGTGCTGCTCACTTACACTTATCTAGTTTAACAGACTTGAAAGCTATAGTTTTTACTAATACACTACACTGTTTTTCATCAATGAATGACAGTAAAAAGCCTCTGTACATTTCAACTAATTTTTACACATAACTACTTTTTGAGGTGCATAAGCTGCTTTATTGAGGGATTCAAGCAAGACGTCAGAATTCAAAATCTCACTGACCTTGTGCTTCAATGTGGCCAGCACTTAGTGAACCTAGTGTGGGTTTATTGCTGGTAAAGTTTTCAAATATCCTCCTTGCTTCATTGTCATATTCCTCCCACTCAGCTACTATTCTCTTAGCTGCATTCAGCTTAGGTTCTTTGGTCTGTGGGTTATTACACTGGAGAAAACAATAGGTGAAATATAGCCCCCAGTCAAACCACTCTTAATCCACAATGCCAGTCTTGATAGCTTTCATAAAACAAGTTGCATTTCTTACAAAATAAAATAAAAATGAAATAGTGACTTCATTTTTAGCATCAGGTTTCAGAAGTTAAATATGCTCCAGAGCTCTGCATTAAATTGAAACATTCAAGTAGTCTCAACCTCATAAACAAACTAATCAGAAGTTAACTACAGCCTTTAAAATGAGATTTTGTAACTATTAAGTAAATAAACTGCCACTTGTAGGAACAACAATGCAGTTTTACTAAAACAAACACTGAACTCTTTAACTAAAATTTTGTAAAACTATTGTGCACCATTTTATAAAATATATTCTGTAACTCATTAGTTATTAATAATTCTTTAAGCTTACCAAATCAATAGTTTTGGCTTTTGACTTCTCGTCATCACTGCACCAAGTCTCACACCACAGCCACTCCTGAGGCAGCGACTTGATGTTCACCTGATGGATCATGTTGTTGGGAAGATCCTGAAGGAAAGAGAGGCTTTTGAACGACAATCCCTCATGTGAGTTGAGGTATCTTTACTTTAATGTGCTAGATATAATGTTGTAGCATTTAATGGAATCTTTATAGTAGATATATTTTGAGAAATTAAAAAAAAAAGTTTAAGGGGGTTAACTCCCAAGATGGAAGTACATTGAATATAATTCTGGCTTTCTTTATCCTCAATGTACCCTTAAATATTTCCTCAGTACTGAGCTTACTTATGCACTGATTTGGTGATCATCTTGAAGCAAGTTAAAACCTTTGCATCTCTGCTGTATTTCAGGGGAACATTTGGGACGAAAGAATACCAAGATATGTAGTTATTTGATGCACAAATTATTTTAAGTGTTCTGTGTGTAAAAGAGACAAAATACCAGAATTATCAATGTACCTCGTTCTTTGGAGTTCAACCCTCTTGTGTTAGGTACTGAAGTTTTAATTGTTCATATATTCTGCTAACTACATATCCAGTGGTGCCTAAGGAGACTCATGTCACTGTGGGGTTCCACTCACAGCCCTCAGTGACATACAGTAGGTATCTACAAATCACCATGAAATTCCACTCACAGCCATCAGTGACATACAGTAGGTATCTACAAATCACCATGAAATTCCACTCACAGCCATCAGTGACATACAGTAGGTATCTACAAATCACCATGAAATTCCACTCACAGCCATCAGTGGACAGTGGTGCCTAAACATTCCAAAATCTATACATACTTAGTTGTTTTTTTAAAATTATATAAAAAACTCTGTATCCCTTACTTGATCTAAGTTGGACAAGCTGTTGGGGTCCTGACTAAGGCCTTGGTACTGCCCTCTGAGACGATCACCAGCTGCTATCTTTCTAAAACGCTTCAGGTCCACCACATATAAGGCACTAAGAATAAAATACTACGTATATATATCAACACCTATAACAGTTAGCAATGTAGACACAGCTTATCAATAACAAATCATGTAGTTTTACTTTTTTTCACATTGGATGATAACTTTACTGCAAGGATGACACAGAGACACATTGGCAATGAACAAGAACATTTATAGAGACAAAGAGGATTAGAGGAAAAATATATAAAAGATAAAACAATCAAATATTTTCAAAAATATCAGCAATTGCTTGGATTTGCAGTTTGCTCATTTAAACAGATGCATTTACACCACTGGGATAATGATGAAACTTCTAGAAATTTTCAGGTTTTTCTCTATCTAAACATGAAATGGGCTTTTGCTAATGTGTAAGAACAATATAGATATAAAAAGTCTCTAACCTATTTTTACAACTTTTTAAGTTTCTAACACAACAGCCCCTTTAACTGGTAATTTATTCACCATCTTGCGTTTTGTATATTTTAAGCTAAAATAAAATCTTTATCTTATCTCTTATCTACATGTAGAGTACCAAAAAGGTCATAACAAATTTAAAGCAATCAAATTATGCACATTTCTACCATCACTTGCACTTAATAAAATATATTAATACTTCATAAAATTGTTTGGGGATAAAAAATCCACTGTTAGATATTATTATGACTGACAGACATGTAAAAGATATCCCCAAAACTGTGATGATGACAAAAAACACTTCAACATTGCCCATAAAGCTGTGAAAGTAGGGGAATACTACAGGTCCACTATGTCCTGACAGCTTACCTAATGTGGTACTTCCTGCCAGCAAGATGACTTGCCCAGTAACCAGACTTCCAGAACCTGACAGATACAAAAAGAGTTGGAATTAGTACAGTTATTCTGTTAAAGGGATAATAACTCTTTGTATGAGATCTATATTTCACAATAAAAACATTGTGAACAACTCATAGAAATATAATATATTCTGTTTTACCACAAAAACGGCAGTCATAGCTATTACTCTAGTATCTGAGCTTGTCTTTAGACCCTGTGACCTCCATTGATGGCTATACTCTGTTATAATCTCTTAAGAGATTATAAAAAAATACAAACTTTTTAGAAAAAAAACAGGGACTAACTTTCAATGTAAAAATGGATTCATTAACCATTGGTAAGTATGGGAAAATTGTTGTTTACTCCAGGAAAATTCATTTTTTTGCCAAAACAAACAGTTATTATTCCTTTAAAGGACACTTAGATCTGTTTTCTGTGTCATTCCAAAGAACATAATAACCAGAAAGCAATGCTGCCAAACATACAGACACTGGATGACATGGACAGACCCAATTATCAAATTATATACTAACACATACACTGTTTACAAATGATACCTGGTTAGCACTCAGTATTTAGAGGATGAAGCTAGTACTGATGGTTTTTGTGTATATTTCAGGCACCATATGTCATATATTCCATCTTTTTCCTGCTATCCCAGGTTTATTTACCTGAACCCATCCATCTCTTTTCTGCTATCACAGAATGGAGTGTAGCCATAAGGAGCACCACCGAGGTCAAGGTCATATAACTCCTGAATATCTGCACGGACCACCTGATGCAGAAAACGGGCAATAGTAAAAAATTACACATTACCAGAACCCTGTGGCACAAAACAATGTAATGAGATAATACTTCAAACATTATGAAACTATTTTTCACAAATATTTTTCTTAAAGCTTTAAGTCTAATGTATGGAGGTACATGAAGAAATAAATGGCTGGAACTGGATTAAAAAAAGATCTGGTAAAACTGACATTAAGCATTTGGAGGGAAAATATCCAAAATCCAGATTTACTGTTTCAGATATTTGTTTTTATAAATAATTGCTATTTTTTATAAAGGGGATTCAAGTTAGATTTTGTACCTTGTACAAATATTAAGACAGGATCTCAATAAAAAATATCAAGTTTTTGTAAAGCAATTTGTGGCAACTGGAATCATAAAATGAGAACAAAATGATTTTCTTACCTGATCAGCATCAACAAATATAATTTTTTCCACGTCAAGTGGGAATAACACATCTAGGAAAAGAATTTTATACCTGAAAAAATAAATAATCAGCACTTATAGTAAGATAATACCAGAGCATATGTTGTTTCTCTTACATTAACACTTTTATAATAAATGTTTCATCATTTAAAAAACTAACACTTATCTATAATGGGAAATGCTGCATTCAACTTATGTCACTGGGGATGCTTTTTTTTGCTTATATTAACGCCATCTCTTTGGGGATGAATTTTGCCTCATAATCCCCGCCTCTCCAGCGTCAGTTTTTCTTTGATAGCGTAATTGTGAAAGTTCACAGAGATGTGTTCTGATAATGATAACTGTGACAGTGGCAGATGACTGTTTTATGTCCAAACACGGCATCTATCCACAGAAAGTGATTAACTATTTTTTTATGATCCTCTGTCAACAAGGACTTAGGGTGCATTCCCAGAGATTTAGATCGATCCAGAGATTTAGATTTAGATTGACCTACCTCCCTGGGGGTTCACGCTAAATTGCAGTCAGCCAAGCGTGCACCATAGTTAATTACCCCCTTACAGCTTTTAGTAGGCAGGACAGACACTTAAGCCGGCTAAGCTGATAGTAATCTAGTGAGACTCCCCACAGGGATAGATCGATCTAAAATCTATGGGAATGGAGTCTTAGCCCTATCTGATACTGTATCAACAAGAACTTATCCCATCTGATCCAATGTTAATATGGACTTAACCCCATCTAATTCTCTATTAATATGGACTTACCCCCATCTGATTCTCTGTTGATATGAACTTACCCCCATCTGATCCTTTGTTAAAATGGACTTACCCCCATCTGATCATCTGTTAATATGGACTTACCCCCATATGATCCTTTGTTTCTCTGTCTGCTGGTGCAGCCACCTAGGCCATTTGTACTGAACTAGTTCATATTCAAAACCATATTCTCTAGCATAATATGGGATAAATTCCTAGAAAATTGAACAAAAAAAATAAATAAATAAATAAATAAATAATAATCAGACAATTATGCTGAATACTTTAATTAAACATGCATCTGAGAACTAATTTTCACTGACCATTAGCTATATTGATAACAGGAAACAAAGTGAAATTACATCTTTTGTTAAGCACTTCCTACACCAACACGTTACTTCACATACAATATCAACTATCAATCAATTACATTTTTAATAATCAAAGTTCAACCACTCTACCCATCACATTCTACACTTCTTCTTACCTTAAATGTTGGGGACAAATAGTTCTTGAGGAACCAAAACTTAATTTTTGATTTGGTATTTTTCACTACACTCAGCATCATAATTCTAAAAAAAAAGGTACAAAAAAATAAATAAATAAATAAATAAAAATAAAAAATAAATTCAAACATATTTGCCACATAAACTTTATCAAATATTCTAAATTTATAAAAATCAGGTATCAATCACTAATGTTATAAATTACATGTCTTGCCAAATACAGAACATTATTATAGTATGTTGTCAGTAATGGAGACTATGTCCTGTGTGACAGTTTATGTTGTGTTAGGGTGACAGCATTTCTACCTGAGGAATCTCTCATAAAGGTGTCCTGATGCCACTGAAAATATATTCACTTTCGTCTCTCGATTCCCCTCTTCACTCGGGCCTGAGAGGGAACTGGAAAACAAAGAGGAAATATGAGAGGCAATTCTGTGGAAGTGCAAAGTATGTCAAAAGAATATGACAGATATTTTTCCTGTGTTCAGAAAGTCGTGCCATAGGAGGCCCTTCTGTAAAAAACAGTAAGACAACAGGAAATTTCAAGATAAATGTCCCATCCAAAATAAAACACAAACATACTTTGCAAACAATAAAACTGTAACTGCAACTGCTCTCACAATCACCCAAATGAAGGACAATTAACAAAAACAGCTTAAAGCATTTTGAAAAGACAAAATATGAAAATATGTTATCAATAATGGAATTAATTATTCTTATTGAAATTAAATATTGCATAAGAAGCAGACAAAATGGTCATACATTGTTATGTGTAAACACAGTAACACAATGTACATTTTATTAAAAAGCAAAGATGTTTTCAATAGAATTTAATACCATGTTGATTTATATATAAGAACAGATTAAAAAAAATATTTAATCATATTTAATCAAATATCTATATTAATGACACAAAAAACACACAACTACACTGTCACTGATCCATCACCTGATTATAAAAAACCATTAAAAGCCCCTGCCTGCAAATTCTGACATTCCATCAACATTACATTATCCAGAACATAAAGCTGGTGAAAAAACACAATGTGATATCACCTTGATCAAAACAGAGAGGAACATACAGATATTCTGCTTAAAAAACTTCAAACATGCAATATCAACTTAATACATATACACATCCGGTGTATGGAAAACTTGAAACAAACTGAAAACTGCAGTCAGATGAAGGGACAGACTAACAAATGAAGAACCTTATTCTATTACTCTCTTAACATAAAATCTAGATAAAACAAACTTAAAAGAGTTGCATATAAACATCTATCAAGACACATTTTTGTCCAACGGCCTCTGTCAGTATTAAGAGATGATTTCGGCCTCCCCTACCTGCTGTCTACGTCTTCCTCCTCCTCCTCATCACCCATCCAGCTGGGGATGAAACAACAACAATATATCAGCCTGGTACCCAGCAGTTATTCCTTTACAATCACTTGGACACTACATTAATTAACTGTGAAAATTTTAAATCTCTGTAAATAGGCTGAACAATCCAAGTAGGACCCCTAAGCCTAGCCCTAACATTGGACATCCCATACCCCTATGCTGGCTCTAAAGGTGATTTGGTTGAGGCATGACATCATTGGAGTACATGTCCTACAACAAAACTAGACCAAATTGGACAGATTTTGACCGATGCCTGGAATGTTATTCCAGATTGAACTCTAAAAATCTATCCCAAGGAATGCCTTGCCACTTGAGAGTGCTGGTAGCAGCCAGAGGAGGTCAGGTGTAACGACGACCATTACTGTGACTAGACGCTGACACAAGGGTCCTTTGTGGAGTGTGTAATTCTTTTACAGACAATAATTTAGAAAATATAGAGATCCAAAATATCTCTTTTAATGGTTGTCACATGACATAGAATAGGCAATGTGTTTTTGTTTGCTTCTCTGGCAAATTCCATCAATGAACTGATGTCACAATGATATCAAAGAGATAATTAAAAGTTAATAAAACAATTTTAATCCTTATTTTCATTTATCAGTCAGTAAAATACACTGAAATACAACATACATACTTAACCTTTACACTGGAATACTTCATCTTTACACTGGAATTCAACAAATATACTTATTCTTTACACTGGAATACAACATACACACTTCATCTTTATACTGGAATACAACATACATTCTTCATCTTTACACTGGAATACAACATACATACTTCATCTTTACACTGGAATACAACATACACACTTAATCTTTACACTGGAATACAACATACATACTTCATCTTTACACTGGAATACAACATACACACTTAATCTTTACACTGGAATACAACATACACACTTCATCTTTACGCTGGAATACAACATACATACTTCATCTTTACACTGGAATACAACATACATTCTCCATCTTTACACTGGAATACAACAAACACACTTCATCTTTACACTGGAATACAACAAACACACTTCATCTTTACACTGGAATACAACATCTCTACATTTTCTGCACTTGAAAAAAAGTGTTATTTCCACAATACGGAAATATGTTTTACCTGGATAAAGAATCCCATAACCCCCCTCTCTTGTCTTCTTCTCCTCCCAACAAATCATCTGACTCCCGTCCTGGTTTCTTGCTTACCTAAGAAAAGATCACAATGAAAGAACAATCATTTTGAATAAGCAGATCACAATGAAAGAACAATCATTTCGAATAAGATTTTAAATTTTCAGGCACTGTATATGCTCAGCTGTAAGGAAAGTAAGAGAAGGCAACTCTATCTATCTATCTATCTATCTAGTGTGGAAAGAGAGAGAGCAAACGCACTCATACTGTGTACTACATACACACACAGTCAGACAAAAATTAAAACAACTAAGTAGATGAATGTAGGTAAACTAGAGTTAAAAAAAAGCTAGCCCTATGAAAGCCCTTGCGTTCACATCTTCATGGCCCATTGTTGTACCAAGTGCTTATATATAATACTTATGTTTCTCAACATGCCTGGGTTGAAATAATTTTATTCAGATGGCCCACTAACAATAAAGGGTCTTTATATCAAATTTTCTCCTAGACAATAACCGACACAGAATAACATTAAGAATAAAACAACACATACAACATTTAAAGTGCATATGGACGCAGTTCGCGCATGAGTTTTATTTCAAACCACCTTCAATCATTTACAAACAAACCACAATATAAATAAATAATTTAATAAATTAATTAAAAACACGAGGAGACCCTCTCCTCACCAAACCTATGTATCATCTCTCCCTTTTACATATAAAAAGAAATCGCCGGGATACCACATCCCAACAGCTTTTCCAAACACATCTTTCCCTTACCTAGAGAATCACCGGGATATCACATCCCAAACAGCTCTTCAGAGCACAAACCAACCATTCACCCCCCCAACCCCCACCCCCCAATGAACAGTAAATGCATCAGTGCCCACTGCACCTGGAGTCCAATATCTAGTATAAAAACTGGCAATTTATTGTTATGATCAGAGGCAAAAAAGTCAATTTCATGTGGCCCCCAGTCTGACTCTAAATAATCGAAAATACTATCTGCCACTTCCCATCATAGTCTCATCATAGTCTCTTAATCTGCTGATTTGATCTACATATAAATTTTCACTACATGGAATCCATTCAGCACGTAGAGTTATGCCATTTAACAAACACAATTCAAAAATACTAAGCGCAATGTCTTGCAAATTACAATTCCTGCTACCTCTTTCAGTAATACTAACAACATTCCATGCCAAATCTCCAAAGGGCTTTCCACCATATAACTGCCATAACCAGTTCCACTAAAGTCACTGTAAATAATAGAATGCACAGCTTGATCAATTATAAAATTCCTTACAGAAATCTTGCATACATTAAATTCCCAAAATTTCATTTGCTTCATAGTGTCTATGCTCAAAACAATTTGTTCATTCCAACATTTAGCTTTAGAAATATCAAACCTCAGACATTTTGTCATAATAAAAAGCAAAAGATGTAGAAATGATCTGACCTACTACACTAGCAACTAAACACACATGAAAGCTGCCTTTTCTTCTTAACAGAGAATGGATATCTGTTATAGTCTGACAAATTATAAGAAGTCTGTTATCAGGAATACATAAAGTGTCTTTCTCTATATTCAAATTATACCCTAAAAATAAAATCTCAGTACTAGGAGACCACATTGATTTTTCAACTTTAGGAACAAACACTCTATTGATAAGATCTTGCTTAATTTCTAAAGCAAGATTCTTACATTCACTGTACTGCCAATGACAACCAAAATCATCATCTATATACATGACCACTTTTTTTATCCACTCCTTGCCACTTTTTAACCAGCGGCCTGGTCACTGTAGTAAAAATGTAGAATGCCGTACCAAGACCAAATGGCAAAACTTTAAAAATCTAAAAAATTTGGTAATATTTCCAAATTTTCCAAGAAAGACCTAAAAAATAAGTGTGAGACTCAAAAATATCAATGTGATGATATGCAGAATGTAAATTAAATTTGAAACAAAAATTTCCCTGTTTTAAATAAAACATAGCAGTACAAATATCTTCAAATTTTACTGAAGATTTCCAAAAATGTTTATCAACATGCCGCAAAGCTAAATTAAATGCTTTTTACCACTACTGCTAATGGCCACTGTAAGCGGGTGAACTACAACAGGTATATCTGTGCATTCACTAATAAGGCCTCTGACCAACAAATCTTGTATTGCTTGCTCATCAAATACACTATATGTAAAATAGCAGATCTGTTGTTATGCAAATGAACTGGTGTGGGTATAGAGAAAAAATTAAGCTTGTATCCATTTTCTAAAACTAAGAATAAACTCTTAAGTGCCAATACTTTTCCAAAATGCTAATTTACTTCTTAGCCTGCCATTAACACAGATACTTGCTCTTACTCAAAATAATCATAAGTAAAAACTGATTTGTCTATTTCACATCACAACAATACTCATCTTTGACACAATCATTGACGATTGGTTTTGGGGAATCCTGGTGCACTTCCTGATGCTCTAGTGAAGGGACAATCTCTCCTCCAATGGCCGAAGGACCCACACGCGAAACATGACCTGCTTCTTCCTTCCTTATGTAGGAGCTGACAGCAGCAGAGGTGACGGATGCCATGAAAGAGACAGGACTGACTGCCCCTGAGGCTGCACTGGGAAACACCCATTGATGTTCACAAAAAAGAGGCTGGGCACAGACAGGATCAGTACTACTAACGTTAGATTTGCTGGAACCATGACTTCCCTTTAAAATAGGTTTGCTCTTCAATGCTTTGCTTTCCACTCTGTTGATTTTCTTTTCATCCTCAGAGTCACTGGCCAAAGGATAAACTTCATAAAAGCGGACAGTGCTCCACCCTCCTTCATTGGAATCAGCTAACCTAATAAGCTTATTTCTCTTCTTTAGCTTATCAAAAATGGTAAAGGCAACTTCTTTAGCATAATGAGCCTTGTCATTGCCTACTGCCCAAATTACCCGTGTCAATTGCTCTTCTAACTCAGGGTTGAACTGCAAATGTATCCAGGTGTCAGAATCTCCTCCGAGCGCAGCCGAAAATTAATCACAGCTTTGGAAACGACTTGCTTGGGCTGTTAGTTAATTACGCCGCAGGGTATATTCAGAGCACAGACCGTGATCACTAGATACCGCCAATGGATTTTTGGAATTTGGATTTTTCACGTGAACGATGCCTAAGTCTTTTAAAGATTCCGCCTGCAACTGCACAGAATCAAGTATTTGTTTTAAGGAAAAGCCCTCCGTCTCCATTGAAAAAGGCACGCTCGAAAATGTACTTGTCAACTGGTCTGTGCTAACTGGTCGAATTAACAACGATTGTAACTTACCCACAATTCTTACCAATAGCACAACTAACACAATATATACAGTGATGCCCCCTAGGAGAAAATAATTCCATTCTTATTCACTTGACTCAACCAAATAAAATTATATTTATAATGTTATAAATGAGTTATCAAGTAGAGCTAGAATAGACTCCAGTTGCCCTCCTAGTACACATATCCACTTTGAATGACCTGCATGTACATATATGACAATACCTCATAGATGATATATTTTATATTTTTTGAAGCAAGGGTTTTACACACCTCTGAAACAGGTCAATAAAGCAAGCTAACTGAGCCTTATACATTCAAAGAATTTCTGTGAATATAAATGGTCCTTGAGAAAATATTTTTATAAAAACTGAAGAAGCTGGTAGGAATAATGTTTTAGTGTGATCTTTATCTGTGGATCAAGAGCTAGTTTGGTAGTAGTGTTACAGTATTTTCTGTTTTTAAGTAGTACATAGAACAGCAGAATCATTCTATCAACATAAATTTTCCACAAACCCATTAAAGTCACTGCCCTCAGCACTACCCACCTTGACTTTGATGATTTTACTGAGGAAGCTGTTCATGACAACAGTAATGTTAGGTGAATCTGGTGGAGAGTCTGTCCTCTCATGGCTAGAGGAGGAAAACATAGAAGATAAACAGTAGATAAAGAACTTTTATAGCCTTCATTAACTTTTCCTAGCAAGGTTAAAACATTTAGACTCAACAAAGCAAAATACTAAGTAATAACATCAACTGGCTGACTTGTTAGTCCAAGGTACTGAAAATGCCTCCAGAACACAGATTTATACGTAACTTGAAATTAATCCATAATGTAATCGATATTTTGTAATCGAATTTAGGACATCTACAACCCGAGACAATAATTTGCACCACATTAACTTTATCAAATAAAGGTGATTAAGAACAACTCTACTATGGCAGCACAAAGTGGTAACTAACCTTGCTATCTTGTAGATTTCCTCTGAACGTCCATGTCGAAGTTGTAACATCCAAGCCCCTGGCTTAGCTTTCAGTTGGAAATAACCCTAAAACAGTGATTTAAGGCAAGTTAATATTTCAAGCATTTTGTCTACTGCCAGAACTATCCAAATGAGAAAAACTCACAACAGTGACAGCCTAGAAGAATGTGTACAATGCAATGTATGCACATAAAAAGAACCCCCACAAAAATGAAGAAAAAAAATGATCCACTAATAAATGATCCACTGAAGTAAATGCAGAAGTTTTTAAAAAACAATAAATGCCGATTACAGGCATGTAACTGTGTGATAAATTTGAAGACATCCAACAAGGAAGGCTTTAGTATCAGCAATATTCTAGGATGTCCCTTATATCAAATACACACAAAGCAACAAATTTATGAGACTGCCATCATACCATGAAAGTAAAATGTGAATTTTCATTTAATAATTACAGATAAGATAAAAATATCCACAGAGAAGCACTTTGCTGTACCTATATGCATCATAGCCCGTACTCCCAGGTCACTTTTCTATGGAAGGTTTAAGCATGACTCAGATTATATGACACCAATATAACTCTTCAGGTGTTATAATCTCTGAATTAGTCTTTCAGTTGAAGGAATGTAGATATTTTCTGTCATGTGAGGAAACATTTGTTATCTCTTTTGCTCGCATATGATTGTTGCAAGAAGTCTATACTACATTTTCTATTTTTTTCAAATCACAAAAGAAAAAAGTTTCCCTGTACTTCCTTCTTAAAATAAAAGACATCCCCCATCTGCACACTCTGCCCAGTTACATACCAGGTTGGCCATGACGATGGTGTCCACCACTGCCTGCTGACTCCTGGTCCCTAGTACAAACTGCAGGCCCCTGGGAGGCTGACCTGAATTCTGGTCATGGCAGTGACCTACAAACAAATGGGGTCATACTTCATACATCTGTATAACTTGCATTCACTATTGTGCAAAGAATAATTGAAATGAATGATGGTGCATTGACTTAAGAGTGGTGTAGTGAATTGTAGTGCAGTATAGTGTAGTGCTATGTAGTGTATTGTAGTGCAGTATAGTGTAGTGCTATGTAGTGTATTGTAGTGCAGTATAGTGTAGTGCTATGTAGTGTATTGTAGTGCAGTATAGTGTAGTGCTATGTAGTGTATTGTAGTGCAGTATAGTGTAGTGCTATGTAGTGTAGTATAGTGCAGCAGTATGTTGTATCATTGTTTGTTATTATTTTAAAATATCAAATTGGAACCTAATATATCATCATTCAAATAGTCTTAACTTGCCTTCTAATAATAGATATTCCAATTCAAACTCCGCATTGATTCCCTTGTCTACCTGAAAAAAAAAAAAACATCGATTAAAATAATTCAATATCATACCTGATATACAGCACATGAATTAACTTCCAGTGGCTGGGGTAGTACTACACTCGCCAATTTAGCCAAATGGAAAAACTGACTTAAGTTGGCTAAGCAAAAACTGTTTGACTTGACTTTGTTTTAGTCAAATTTGAACCATATTGGAGAAAAAAGTGATGTAAAAGTATTGATTTGGCTAAGAGAAAAAAAGTTGCCAGCGCTACCCCAGAGTGGTGCCTTGTATTCATCAGTCATAGACTCAACCTTTAAGAAATCGATGAAAAGGGTTATTTCAAAGGGTCTTCGTGGAAAAACTACGATATCTTGATATCTCAAATTTTGAAAATAAGTTCGATATTATATAAAGAATTTATGTAAAAAATCTTGTTCCATACTGTTGTGATAATTTTGAAAAAGAATGTTCACACTAAATGCAAACCGTACTGCTGATGTTAATAACTAATTGCCTTCAAGACCTAAATAAAAACAGGAAGTGCGTTGTGACATCAGGCCGTTGAGTTTGTAAGCTGCTGTATGAATTTTTGCTGAGAAAGATTTGAAGCTTATGCATATGTTAGTAAAATAAAATAATCATGCAGCTTATAGAAGATTCAAGAGATATGTCTATTGCTCTCACCTCATCCAGTATATATATGAGAGCAGAGATATGTCTATTGCCCTTACCTCATCCAGTATATATATGAGAGCAGAGATATGTCTACTGTCCTTACCTCATCCAGTATATATATATGAGAGCAGAGATATGTCTACTGTCCTTACCTCATCCAGGATATATATGAGAGCAGAGATATGTCTACTGTCCTTACCTCATCCAGTATATATATGAGAGCAGAGATATGTCTACTGTCCTTACCTCATCCAGCATTATGTTATCCAGATCATACTGTGTCCTGACAGCCTCCACCAGCCAGCCCTCGGGAGGGTTCATGTTCAGAGTGAGCAGAGACTTCTGTGGCAGTCCGTGGAAGGTGGCCACTGCACCCAGGCTTTCTCTGGAGCTGAACTCCAGCTCTGACCCAATCACATAGCGGTAGTAGCTGGAGAGAGCAGAGAAACATGGTCAGTGACCAGGTGTCAGACAGACAGCTATCTCACCATGTAATGAGATGTCTGTTTTCATCTTCACATACCAAAGGCATTCATTTTAATGGTTTAATTTTTTATTTTAACTATGCCATACATAAGTTTCAAAGGCTTTCGGCATATATCTTGGGAGACAACATTGCAGTGTAGGCCTTATTGGAGGCTCACAAATGACCAAGAATAAATATATTTGAAATATTAATATTTCTCTAAGAAACTTACTTTTTCAGAGGCATTTCTGACAATTTTTCTCTGCAATTCATGAATATTTGAATCTTAAGGTTCGCAACTTTGAGCAGTGCCTGCAACATAAAATACTATTATAATGATCAGCTTAGATGTCTGGCAACCGTACTGAAGCTGCTATACAATAGTTAATTATGCCCCAACGGTTTCAGTAGGCATGCCAGAAATCAGAGCCACGTTAGCTGAATGCAAGTTATGAGAAACCCCTTGGATATGGGTCGATCGTGCTAGATCGATCTAGGTATGGGAACGGGGTCTGATAGTTATCACTCTGCCAAGTCACTTTTTTTGTGTTTGACATTTTAAAACATGAACCTTTACTGCTGAGAATCTATTCTAAATACTATATGTAAAATCAGCTAACAGTGATTTATTATATATAAGTACCTAACATCATCATATTTTTTACTTCTGTTGATTAATAGTCAAGTGATTGATACAACTTAATATAAGTTTTAACTGTTATCTTCTACAAAAAGATCAATCTGTCTATTTTGACCTTGGTAACTAAATTACCTTATACATTTAATTGTTTCCACATCTGTGGTTATTTACAATTGTTGTATAAAAACAATTGACTTTTACACTGACTCTGTCTAACTTCTTGTGCAGCTTGTGCAGGATAAACAGATTAAATATATAAAGGTGTCTTCTCTTAGAGTGAAAGGTGTCAACTGTTTGGCAAATCCCAAACTGTCCTCACCCTGAGTAATGGGGTCACTTTCTGTGCCTCCCGGGAAACTGGATCCACTATGAATGTTACATCATAGGCTGGTTCCTCAGGTTTAGCAGGGATTTTTAACACACTGAAGATGTAGATATTTTAAACAGTCAGTAAAGTATTTAAAATTTTACCAGTACAGGTCTTCACAGACACTCAGAAGTCCCATAACTGTATCAATAGCCTGTAAAATACACAGACAGTGACAAAATCCAGTTCTTTTTCCAGAAAACAATGCCAAGTTAAACAACAAATTGTTAATGACAATATTTTCAATATGCAACATAATGACTTCAGAAGGTTTCATACTCCATCCAGTTCTTGAACTTCAGGATAAAAAGAAGTAATTGATGCAGATTTTTTAAAAACTTATTTAAGAATCATATCATATTTCAACTTTTTTCTTTACCTTGAAATCCCTTTGTCTGTGTAAAATTTTACTTCATGATGCAATAATTCAATCAGAAAAATCTACACTATGAAGAAAATGAGAAGATATCCCGTGTAGCTGTAAATGGACAGGCACAAAGTACACACCAATCCCCTGTTCACTGGCTCCTTGGTATGTTTCTAGGATAGGTTGTTCATTTTGTGTCATAAGTTACAACAATGCAAAAATGCAGTGACCTGTCCATAGGAAGGGTTATTTCACAGTTTATTTTGTATGACACATCTCATTAACTCCAAAAACCTGGTACTGCACCTCCTGTTATAGTAATGTAATAATATTTGGAGAAAAAATGCCATCAGCACATGTATAGTGTGTGTGTGTGTGTGTGTGTGTGTGTGTGAGAGAGAGAGAGAGAGAGAGAGAGCGCATCCCTGTACTGTGTGTGTGTGTGAGCATCTCTGTGCTGTGTGTTAGAGAGCATCCCTGTACTGTGTGTGAGAGAGCATCCCTGTACTGTGTGTGAGAGAGCATCCCTGTACTGTGTGTGTGTGAGCATCCCTGTGCTGTATGTGAACATACCTGTGCTGGTCCCCAGCAAACTGTACATCAGTCCTGGAGGCTATGCTGGCCTGCTGATTGGACATCAACAGACTGCCCACCTGCATCACCATGTCACTGACCCTGAATAGATACATAGTATGTATAAATGTCACCATGTCACTGACCCTGAATAGATACATAGTATGTATAAATGTCACCATGTCACTGACCCTGAATAGATACAGAGTATGTATAAATGTCACCATGTCACTGACCCTGAATAGATACAGAGTATGTATAAATGTCACCATGTCACTGACCCTGAATAGATACAGAGTATGTATAAATGTCACCATGTCACTGACCCTGAATAGATACAGAGTATGTATAAATGTCACCATGTCACTGACCCTGAATAGATACAGAGTATGTATAAATGTCACCATGTCACTGACCCTGAATAGATACACAAGATAGATTCACAGTATGTATAAGTAAGCAGTTCCTGCTGCAACTACTTGTGATCTTATTTTTTGAGAAACTCCCTACAATACCTTAAATGTGTTTTTTTTCATTATCATGACAAAAACTGGGACATATTTTGAATATAACCTAAAGTGCATTCTTCTTTAAATCAAAATGAAGACAAGACTATAACAGAAATGAAAGCCTCTATGTCATGTTCATCAACACAATAACAACAATAAGTACTAGTTACAACACAAGTCGAGATATATTTTGCTCTTGCATGTCGCATACAGTGGCTGACGAGTAGTTGTAGCTGACTTATACCATCGCTGGCGCTTTTAACAACAGGATGAACGCACCGAATAGTATGAAAATACATGCAAGCCTGTATGTGAAATACAAATGCAATTATCCTGTTGTTCGAAGTGCCAGCTTTGGTATAATAATAATAATAATAATAATAATAATAATAATAATAATAAAGGTAACTTAAAACCACACTCCATGTGTGTCTCATTGCTTTAAGGGCCATTCTCACCCCCCCTGCCACCATCTAGCACTAACAGGAGAGAGGCCAATAAAAAGTATCCTGATCTGAATTGCTTTAGTAGGCCATGAAATAAATCAAAAATAAAGAATATAAAAACACTCACTGCTGATATGTGGGTGCAATGCATTTTACAAATCTGATACAAAAAGTTCTCATTATCTAAGTAAACTGTTCATCAGTGCCTTTTAGCATTGAAATAGTTTGCAAAAATCAAATGACCAACT